TAAGTATAGTCATGAGCTGCATAATGATGTTTTGGGCAACGATGGACCACATGTATGGCAGTGGGCCCGTAGATTATAATGGAGCTGAAAAACTCCTATCACCTAGTGATGTCATAGCCATCCTAACGTCATGTTGCAACACATTACTCACGTGTTTGTGGTGATGCTGGTGTAAACAAACCTATTGCAAAATACGATGAAAAGTTCCTAGTTTACCCATGGGGTGACACTCCCAAAGGTGGCTCAGACCTTTAAGATAGAAAGCCAAGCATTTGACATATTAGGTCTGACCCCAAGTGAAAGGGTTGTTGTCTACTTTAGAATTCTTGCATTTTTAAATGACTCTCAATCATCCCCAGAGCAAAATAATAATTAATTAACAGCTAACATTCACTGAATGCTTGCTGAATGCCAGGCACAATCCCTGTCTGTAATTTAATTTTCATGACTTTGTGAGGGTGATATTATATCTAATCCCCATTTAACAGATGAGGGAAGTGAGGCACAGAAAGACTCAGTAACATAATTAGTAGGACCATGCTCATGAACCAGTGGCCAGTGTAGATAATAAGAAAATTCACTGCTGTTTCCTTTCACAATATACTTTCGCTCGGTGACAAAATCACCTAATGACGCATTTCTCAGAATGTTTCTCCACGGTGAAGCGATGCATGACTATATGTGTGGTTATTAAAGTAATGTCTGTCTCCCCAACTAGACAGATGCTAAGCTTCAGAAGGACAGAGAACATATCTGTTTTGTTTGCATTTTTATTCCCATTACATGCAGGTGGCTATGTGGTACTCCCTGAATATTAAATAAATAAATGAAAGAACAAAACGTCCACATCATTTACAGGTAGCAAGCAGACTCCTAATTCATTGGCTTAGATTAATAGACTTGTTCATGCCATGAACTTTTTTTTTTTTAATTACAAAACGATGAAGACCAGGTCCACTAAAACATATACACTTGCTAATTTCAAATGGACCATTACAGGTAGTCAACAATCATTTTTCATCTTGTGTTAATTTTCTCACACTTCTTCATATCATCTATTATAACTACTCACTTAGGCAGGAGATCTTCTCTCCCATTTTGTTGAATACCTAATGGTCAACTGGTTTGAGCTCCCTCATTTAATTTCTTTGCATTTCAAAGTAACTTATTCTCTAGGGGTACCTCTGAATCTCTACTTTCAACATGGAAGGCAGAGCTGCCAGTTTCCTCCAGATACTCTGGGATCTTGCTTCCTTAATCAACCACCCTTGTGTCTACAACAACCATATTCTCTTCCTGGCCCTTGTCTCTTTCCCCTCTGTTCTCAGGTATTCATTCATTCATTCAACAAATATTTAATAAACAGTTACCAAACACCTTGCACTGTGTTAGGCTCTTGGAATATATCAACAAGCAAATCCTCACAGAACTTATATATGAGTGGAGAAAGATAATAAATAAAATAAAAATGTAAATAATAGTATTTAAGGGCTAAGGAGAGAAACAAAGCAGGGGAGGTAGTGGGGATTTCAATTTTAAGTAAGGTGGTCAGGAGGGGCTTCACTGGAAAGCTAAAAAAGCCTTGAACAAAGTGAGGGAACATGTCTTGTGGGTATCTGGGTGTTATGTGCTGAATTGTGGTGCCCTCCCCAGATTTATATCTTGAAATTCCAACCCCCAGTACCTCAAAATGTAACTGTATTTGGAGACAAGATCTTTACAGAGGTGATTAAGTTAAAAGGAGGCCGTTAGACTACAGTCCTAATCCTATATGACTGGTGTACTTATAAGAGCAAGAGACACTAGGGGCGCATGTGCACAGAGGATAACCATGTGTACAGAGGGATAACTATGTGAAGTGGCAAGAAGACAGCCATTTTACAAACCAAGGAGAGAGGCCTCAGAAGAGCCCAACCCTGCCCGCACTTTGATCTTGGACTTCTGGCCTCCAGAACTATGAGAAAGTAAATTCCTGTTGTTTAAGCCACCCAGTCTGTTGTATTTGTTATGGCAGTCCTAGTAAACTAATACACCAGGAAGAGTTTCCTACGCAGGGAAAACAGCAAATGAAAACTCCCAAGGTGAGACTGCTTGGCCAGCCTTATCACAAGAAGGAGGCCATTGTGGGCAGAGCCGAGTGAGCACAGGACACAGAAGGAAATGAGATAAGAAAAGTCACGGGAGCCAGATGCTGTGGCACCCTATAGTCTATTGTAAGAATCTTGGATTTTATACTGAGTGAACTGGGGTACCGTTTGAGGGTTATGACCTTCCCTATGGAGAAGCAGGAAAACCAGTATAAAGTATCTCATACTGGAAAGACAGTTGCTGGATCAAATACAGCTGATAAAATGAAGACTAAGAATTGTCCTTTGAATTTAGCACCAGCGGCCTCAGCAAGAACAGTTTTGGTAGAGTTGAGGCTGCCAGTGTCTGAGTATAGTGTGCTTGAGAATGGGAGAAGAGAAATTGAAAACAAGGTATTTCCAGCACTGTTGAGTTTTGCTGTACAGAGGAGCAAAGAAATGTGGTGAGAGCTGGAAGGGGAAGTAGGTTTTTTTGTTTTATTTTGGGATGGGAGAAATCAGAGCATGTTTGCATGCATATGGGGGATAATGAACACAAATCGCCAACACCTTAAAAAATCTTCACAAGGTTCTGGTGGGTAATCATCTCCCGGCCAGTCTCCTCATCTTTCATCCTATTCTTCTGAATACACTGCTGAGGGACGTATCTTATCATTGCACTCATCTGCCCAGAAAGCTTCAGGGTGTCCTTAACTGCTGTATGAAAAATTCAAATACCACTTGGCTGAACATTCAAACCTTCTCCAGTTTGGCCTTTTGCAGTTTCATCACTCTCTTCGGTAAAGCCCCATAGTGAGGTACAAACCGTGCCAAATCAGTTAGAAGACTTGAATTAAAGTCATGTTTCTGTGACTAACTAGCTATCAGACCTTAGACAAATACGTAAGTGCACCCGGCCCGGGCTCCTTCCGGTTTATAGCGAGGTAGGAGATTTGTCGGGTGGACAGGATTATCTGTAGGTCACTCACATCTGTAACTAGCTGTATTTCTCAGCACTGTCGCGGCCACAGTAGGATCATCTCCAGAACCCGCCTTACCCTTTCCACTTCTAGGGACCACAGGACCTGTGCGGTAACGTACTTTGCCTGTCCAAACAGACTAGGCTTTAGAAGAGCCATGGCTGCAGCTCCTTTAAGGTCGGCCGCGCCCCCCCCGCCCCCGCGAACCAGGGACTAGCCTCCCACTCTTCCTTTCACTTGGGACCAAGCTCTTCACAGTCAGAATCGGCCACGTAGTGAGTGCCGCTTCCAACCAATCAAGAATCAGTTATCGTAGACCTTTGAGGGACACCCACTTTCACCAATGGTCTTCAAGTCTTTTCCAGCGCCTCGCACTGAGGGGCGAGTCCAACCGCCGCGATGGCCAATCTGTTCCAGAAAAAGTATTTCAGGAACCGCAGAGCTCACCAATCAGGTAAGAAGACTGCGGGGAGGGGCATTTCTCATTGGTAACCGCGTCCGGAAGAGGGCCGGGCTTTGAGAGACAAAAGTACGATTTGATTGGTTGGCATGATGTTGACAACGGGGGAAAGCCCGCCTTCCCTAACAGGGCCAGCCAGGGCCCCGGAGTGGCAGCTGTTTCAGCCAATCGGAGAACAGACGCGCGGAAAGTTTGCTCAATGAGTGATGTACGAGGAAGGCTGTCACTCAGGTACCGGCGTCGGAGGCCGGGCTGAGACGTGGCCGCGGGAACGCGGCTGGCTGTCTAGGCCGTCAGGGCGGCGGCGGGTTCCCTAGCGTGTCTTCGCCCTGGTGAGGATCTCCGAGCGGCTGGAGAGGCGGGCGCCGGCAGCTGCGCCTCCATGCCTGCGCGCGGGGCGGGCCGCTGATGGAGCGCGCCACCCGCTCGGGGCCGCTGGTGCGGGTGCTGCTGCTGCCGCTGCTGCTGGAGCTCG